CGCGTTACGGTGAACCCTACAACCCGGACCATCGTATTACCACCCCTAGCGTTACGAGGCCCACTTGAGTCTCCGTATTACCACCCCTTGCGTTACGAGACTCTTACTACCAACCTCCGACTCATACAACTACCCTCCTACTCTATATGTAAGAACAGGCCTTTCTATGGTCATATTCGTTCGTGAGACTCCATTCGGTATGCCAACAATATCACATTTAGCCCATAAACATGCCCAAGCAATCAATCCATAGAATACGATTTCAATCATGTAACCTAACATTCGTTCTCTATCAAAAAGGAAGCCAACAAAACGCGGGTATCGTCGAATCATCACAGGAAATCAATTGGACACACTTGAAATAGTTTAGGAGGTGTTACAAGGGTGTTAAGAATGCCCGGAGTCCAAACGAGTGACGAGGAATCAAACAAAAGTTCAAACAGTTTTTCTGAGTCAAGGTAGCGCTACCTCAAAAGGTGGTAGCGCTACTAAACCATTCCAGAGAGCAAACAAGACTCAGGGTAGCGCTACCTCAAAAACTGGTAGCGCTACCTAAGGTAGTGCTACCTCAAAAACTGGTAGCGCTACCAATGTTTGACAGCAGGCGATTTTTTTGCAGATTTTGATAGATTTCGATACGGACTATAAGCAAGGCTAAGGAATGATTCTTACACCAAATTTAACACATATACATATAAGAGAGGTAAAGAAATTCCTACCTCGAATCAAAGAGCGAAACCCATGAGATTTCGAACGAGCCCTAGCTCCGAACTCTCCGAAATTGATGAAATGCTTTCCTCCGAGCTTGACCCACGAAATTTAGAGCTCAACAACGCGATTGAAGGGCTTGAGGGAGGTTGATCCTTGAAGTTTTGAGGTCTTGGAGTGGAGTTTTGAAAGAGGAGTGAAGAGAGAAAGAGATCGGCAGGAGAGAAAAGAGAGCCGAGAGTTTCAAAAATGGGAAAATGATCCCCTACACACACATTCACCCATTTTATACCCCTATATCTATATATTATACTCACACTCCCTTAACCTTCTATTTATTCACTTTCATCCTCAATTCAATAAATCACCCGATAAATCATGTTATTCCAATTTAGGCATTTAATAAATACTTCGAAAATTTAAAAATTATTCGGATCTCTACAGAGAGAGAGAGAGAGAGAGAGAGAGAGAGAGATGACGCTGGAAGAAGAAGAAAAAAGTTTCTGGGTCTCCTGATCTCAATTTGGGTTTAAGGGTGCAAAATTACACCACACCCCCTTCTACTTACTAACACACTCTCTCAAGTCCTCTTATTTAATAAAAATCTAAATCATAACTCCATGTGCTAATAAAAATAAATAACTACTCATAAGAGTTATCCACTGTGGGTCCCCTAACACTCTCGTCCCATGGCCCATGAACTCAAGCCCGCACGACCAAACATACATATATAAAATAAAATTCATTGCACACAAAATTATCTAATTATAATTCCACATACCGACATCAATAAAAATAAATTTAAAATTAGACACGGGTCTCTACATAAACCAAGTCCTCAAACCCATACCTCACTAGTGGCTTGATAGTGCGCTTGGTTCTCCCAGCAGCCAAGCTTTGCTGCTGCTGCTGCTGTTGATCAACCTGTTCATCTGGCTGAGTATCACTTATATCAAAACTTTCCAGCTCAATCTGTATGCCTTGTTGTCTGCTGTTCACTTCCTCTGACTCAGAATTTTGAACCATCTGATGTGCCTTGACCATAGAGTCCTCATCAAATATCACATACCTTTTGATGTGCCTTGATCACCACCTTCTTTGTCTCTGGATCCCGAAGCTTGTACTCTTTGACCCCTTTCTCATAACCAAGAAAGATACACTGTCTGGACTTCGCATCAAACTTTGACCTCTCATCACTTGGAACATGAACATAGGCCGGACACCCAAATATTCTCAACCCTGAGTAGTCAACCTCTTTCTCTGTCCACATCTCATCAGCCACCTTCCCATCCAAACCCGCACTCAGTGACCTGTTTATCACAAAGCATGCCATACTCACTGCTTCTGCCCAAAAAACCTTCGGACGTCCCGCATTCAATCTCAAACTTCGTGGCCTTTCTACTATAGTTCTGTTCATCCTTTCTGCCTCCCCATTCTACTGTGGTGTCTTCCGAACTGTAACGTGTTGTTGAATCCCCTGTCCTCACAAAACTTCAGAAAAGGCCCATTCTTGAATTCCTTCCCATTATTTGTCCTTAGGCACTTAATCTATTTTCCTGTCTGGTTTTTCACTTCAGCTTTCCACACTCTGAACTTAGCAAAGACTTCAGACTTGTGCTTCATGAAGTACACCCAAACTTTCTTTGAAAAATCATCGATAAAGGTTAAGAAATACAGAGATCCTCTTTTCGAAGCTACCCTCACTGGCCCCCAAACATCTGAATGAGCGTAGTCAAGAATTCTCTTCGTTCTATGAGTTGCATTCCTAAACTACACCTTACACTGTTTCCCCAGAGTGCAAAACTTGCAGAAATCCAGTTTGCATGATTTAACCCCTTTTAGCAGACCCTCTTATGCAACTCTAACATCACACGCTCTCCCATATGTCCCAACCGCATATGCCAAAATATGGTATCATCAGCATCATCCGTTCGTTACCTACCAACTTGGAAATATTACCAGGAACTTTACAAGCCTTCATCATCACCATAACACCCCTCGTTACCTTCATGACTCCACCCTCTGTTTATACCCACAGCCATTCGAGTCTAAGGTTCCTAACAAAATTAAATTCTTTCTCAAATCTGGAACATGTCTAACATCTCCCATAGTTCTCACAACACCATCATACATTCTGATCTTTATTGTGCCTATTCCTATTACTTTACACGATGCATTGTTACCCATAAGAACATTACCACAATCCACTGACTTGTAGGTGTTGAACCATTCCTTGATATGAGGTATGTCAAAAGAACATGCTGAATCCATAATCCACGAATCTGCATGTGATCTGAACTTGCGGAGACAGAAAGCATATCCCCATCATCTGACTCCCGCTCCACAACATTTCGAAAGTTGATCCATCTTTCCTATCCCATGCTTTTCCCTACCTTTTCCAGTCAGTTCCCTTACCCCTCTACGGGCAGTCTTTCTTCATGTGCCCCGGTTCATGACACCTGTAACACTTGAACTCAAACGTGCCCGCGGACCTATTCTTGGACTGAGACCTCCCACGCCCTGAAACTGATTTACCCCCCTCTTTCTTCCTACCACGATCCTTGTACCCCTTAACCACCAGATCTTCACCCTGTAGCGATTCTGTTTGTTGCTTGCGTTGATTATACGCCAAAAAGGCTGTAGTGACTTCCTTCGGTTCTAGGGTTTCTTTCCCCTAGAGTAAGGTTGTAACGAGGGTTTCGAGAGAAATCGAAAGTGAACACAGTAACATCAGCGTTTGGTCTTCCTCCTCAAATTTTATGTCAATCCGTTGTAGGTCAATCATAATCTGATTGAACATGTTGATATGCTGAATTAGATTAGTACCCTCGGCCATCTTCAACCCAAACAGTTTCTGCTTCAAAAATAGTTTGTTCGTCAACGACTTTGACATATACCTACTTTCCATTTTAGTCTAGACCTCGGCCGGCGATTCATCACCCAACACGTGATACATGACTTCTTCTACAAGACACAGACGAATCGTACTCACCGCCTTCAACTGGAGTTCTTTCCAATCGTCGTTTGACATGGCCTCTGGTTTCGCCTTCAACGCCTTGTACAAACCCTGCTGCACTAAAAGATCCTTTACTCTCTGTTGCCATAATCCAAAATTCGAAGTTCCATCGAACTTCGTAATAGACGAACTCACTGCCATCGTTCTTCGTGTGATAAAAAAACAACCCGAAGATCTGATACCACTTGTTAGGATCGTCACACACACACACACACAATTTATGAGTATAAAACAGTAAAGAAATCAACATAGCAATATACGTGGTACCCCAAAACCGGGTACGTCCACGGGAGTGAGAGCGACTGCTGTTTTTTTATTATCACAGTACGAAATAGGGTTTACAATATAGACTATTTATACCGACTCTATTCTAACCCTAACTTGGTATTTGATCTGTATCCCAAAAATACCTCTGTACAAACCGTACCCTAACCAAGTATTTGCTCCGCTACCCTCCACTCGTTGCGCTTCTCTCCACTCGTTCCGCTCTGGCATTTGTCCTTCCTCTAGAACTCCTTAGTATCTCTTTATACTTAACATATGAGCCATAATTCTAATAGTGCCCCTTTTGGATCATAACTAGACTAGGAGCTCAAGACATTAATAGCCATGCTCGCCTCCCTTGAGGACTAGCCTGCTCCTTCGATACCCTTTTACTAATTTAGACAAAGTAAAATGTCTCATGCGATGAGAGGGAATGATCCGAATAAAAGTTAGAAATTTGGAAAATCTCATATAAGTGGAAGAGACAAGAAATGAACTTAAATTGCAAGACAGCAGAAGCAAATTTTCGAATACTCCTCATGACGGCATTTAAAGTAGCATTATAAAAAATGTGAAATCTAACTCTCCATTCAATATTCACGCTTAATTGTTAAAACCTATGAGAAAATAATATTATCTATGACTCGAGTTATAAATATTGTACACGAGCTAAGCTTCATATAGGCATACATTGGAGTGAATTAATCACCTTCAGAATAAGTCATCGTTTTCAAAACTTTAATTTGAAATTATAGTTTGATATTCCTTTTTTTTAATGTTCCATTTTTTTCCTGGAGTTGTGTAACCTTGAAACTTCTTCCGTTCAACTTCTCTTATATGTTGATAAGATACGAAAATTTTAAGAAATCACTGGCGTACTCTGTTTTAAAAATAATATGGTGAACTATTTGTATACTCGAATATTGAAATCTCTCCTGAATAACTGGATTTGTATACATATTTCATTTCAATTGGAATTTGGTTATTCACCATGTACGAGGATCTCTACTAAGCATCTATGGCTAAATGGTTAAAGCGCCAAACTCATAATTGCAGAGTTTGTAGGTTTAATTCTTACTGGATGCATGCTAATGGCGTGAGACTTGATGCCTTTTGTAAAACATACCTTTGTAAAACTAAAATTTGCATGATGGTTTTCCCCCTCTTTTTATTTTTTTATAACTAAAATTTTTATGACGGTTTTCCTCTTCTATTTTTTTTTTATAAAAAATAATAATGATTTGCTCTAATAAGCAGTTGTTTCGGTGTGTATGTGTGTGTGTGGAGAGAGAGACAGAGAGAATATGAAACGTGTTTGGCTAACATAGTTTTAGAGAGAGGGAGAGAGTATGAAACGTATTTGGCCAACATAGTTTTAGACAAATATACAATTTCATTTTCCCATCACTTAACCTCATATTTTTTCTCCAGAACATTACAATAGTAAATTTTTACATCTATCATAAGAATCTCTCCCCAAGTCCAAGCCTAATTTAAGCACGCTAAGGATTATAGATATGAATATTTGTGCTTGAGATTGTCCAAGCCTAATTTAAGAATGCTAATGATATAAGGGCGAAGTTGTTGCAGGAGCGTATTAATGCTGATGGGAAATAATGTATTATTATTATGCTGAAGTGTCTTTCTAGTTTCTAGTCAAAAAGTCTAGTTGTTTTTGTATTTGTTTTATGAGTTTTTCTGTCATTTTTCATGAGTCAAGTTGTCTTTTATTTTCTCTGGGAGTCTTCCTAGTAATTTTGGAGTCAAAGTCTAATTTAGCATTTATTTCGAGTCTTGAAAGTGTAATTGCTTTTATTCCTATTCTTGAAGGGTTATTTCAAGCAATGTTATGAATACCGTACCGGCCAGGGTACTGGTTTTCCTACTGGTACGGTACATACCGGTACTGGTCAAATACCGGGTACCGTTTCGAATTTACCGCAACTACAATATTTATAATAATTATATATAATTATAATTCAAAAAAATCCCCCATACCATGCAATTCATTATAAAATACTTATGTGTTTGCCTTTTATCCCACATTGCCTAGTTACAAAACTCTTTTCTATCTTAAATGGCTTTGCACTCTAGTGGACTTGTGACTGAGAACCCAAGAAGATGTCTCGCGCGCTTGGGAAAATGGGCCATGGCCGAAGGCAATTCGGAAACCAATTAATCGGGTGCGTGTCACGGGTTATTTGCGCGTAGGGGGGTGCAAATACGGGATTTGAGCCTCGTGTACATACCATAGTTAAGCCCACGTTTTGCTAAAATTCTGAAACAATGTTTTTTACTCACATTATTCTGAAACAATGTTTTTTTTTGGACCTAGAACACGTTTTTTTTGGGACCCAGATCTGCAAAAAAAAAAAAAAACAAAAACAAACACAAAACAAAATTTCGGCCGAAATTCCCGGTAAGCTTGTCTCGTCCGGTACCGGCCGAAATTCCCGGTATTAACTGGTACCGACCGTTATTGCATCCGAAACGGAATTGGGGGGTTAGGGTACTGGTTTTGGGTGAAAACGGTACGTACCGGCCGGTACTGTAATGCCCCTGATTTTTGGGTACGTTAAATAAACATTTTATTGAATATCAAAAGAGAGTCTGGCTCTTTATTACATCATAACTCCCACTGGAGACCAATACTTACACAAGGAAGGATCTAGGGTTCCTAACTACAGCTCCGCATGCCCCTCCATCCTAGCCAGCTTTTCAACTCCATAGGCCTTCAAGGTGTACTGTTCATCTTGATCATCTACAAAATCTGACACATTATACCAGCGTCGCCACCGATATAATATGTCAGGGTCACCAAAGGTAACACCATGAGCCACAAGAGCTCAGCAGAATAATCCTATACCCGTTAACCCATAACTTACCAATATCAGAGTAAAGAGTAGCATACCAAACTCTTGCACAAGCAGCGGAATACATACATGTTTAACATGGCATTAATAATGACACATCCGCATTCCTTAGTCTAACGTTGGTGTCTGCATTGTATGTGTTTCTCCTACGCGACTCATCGTAGAACGTGTCCCATATTCATCAACATTTCTGAAATCCTTTTCACTTCCAAATCGACATTTTGAAAATCACCTTTAACACACCCAACCTCGGTTCCGCCGCGCCGGGTTCTCGAGTATCCTCACAATGGTTCCGCCGCGCCGGGTTCCCATTGGCACACAAAACCTTGCATTGGCTCCTCTCCGCAGATAACCAAGCCACATTACCAATGAGGCTACCACGTCCGGCCACATTGGCAATCTTCATGATGAGCTACCATGTCCGGTCCCATTGGCAACACACACTGCACAATGGGCTACCAAGTCCGGCCACATTGCGGTTTTTAACATCTCTTTACACAATGAGCTACCACGTCCGGCCACATTGTGATTTCAAAACTTTTTCTCCTTTTCAATAACCACACCCTAGGTGTCATGTTTCTACTTTCTCGATCGTTGTGTCTCGTTATCATGCATAGACTCCGTGGTAGGACTTTCTCATCATAAACCATTTAAATCATTCATTGTAATCTAAACTAGTAAGAACATGCAAGCAATCTTATAAACAAGCTCATCACCATCCTTATACAACCACAAGTAATGCAACAACATGTAAACAAACTCATAACTGTCTAAAAGATCAAAATACGAATACTTCGAATAAAGCTTCTGATTTCTCTTGTTTTGAAATCCGTTCTTTCTTTCTTTGTGGAAAGTTCAAAAAGACCACATATGTTTATTGACGTAGAAATCATTTGTTCAACATGTCATACTTTCAAAAGCAAGATAGGTTTACTTTTAACATTCATTCGACGTTCAAGCAACATACAATATACTTAACGTTTAGGAAGTTTACGACAAGTCTACGTTTAGTTTAACAACATAACTAGAGTTATACTAGGGAAAGTAGATAGGAAAATCTACGTATACTTAAGGTTAGGAAGTATAGGAAAAATCTACCTAGAGTTAGAGGTATAAGAAGATTCTACCTTGATCCGAGTCGGGGCCAAATAAGCTAGTTGGAAGGTGCTACGGGCGTCGAAACTCCCAAATCTGGACCAAACTTTGGATGGCAGTAACTCGGTCAATACTTGGCCAAATAGGATCGTTCTTGAGTCTAAATCGAAGATCTCGAAATTTTCTACAACTTTCGTAGAGGACGTTGTTCCTAGAAACGACTTTCGCCCGGAGGAAAATGGTGATAAAGGGGGTGACAGTAAGCTGTCTGGAAACTGGAATCCGAGATTTTACTAAACTTCGGAGGTCGATATCTTGGTCATTTCTTGACCGTTTGGGGTGCTTCTTGGGTCTAACTTGAAGGTTTCGAAGTGCTCTACGACTTTCTCAAAGGAAGTTTGTTCTAAGAACTACTTTAAGCAGGAGAAAATGAGGTTTTTCGGATGGACAGTGGGCTGTCTGGAAATAACATAATAGTTTTTAGAGAGAAGATGGAGCAATGCTTGAGGTGTGAGTTGAATGCGAAGTGAGGAGGCTATTTATAGCAACCCTTGAGCCCTCTCCTTCCCTCATATGGCCGGCCCCCCTCTCTCTATCTCCCATGGATTTGCTCCATGTGTTGGTCTCCCTCCCTCTCTCATGGTCGACCCCCCTTTCTCTCCCCTTCTTGCTTCATGTGTCGCTCTCCCTCTCTCTCCCATGGTTGGCCCCCCTTTCCTCTCTCCTTCTTGCTCCATGTGTCACTCTCTCATGGTTGCCCCTCCTTAGCGGTTATTGTCCAATGGATAAAAGTTTTTCTAACTTTTATTGACCAAGGGGTAAAGATTTCCCTAGCACTTATCGTCCAATGGGTAAAGATTTTCCTAGCATGTAATAACCAATGGTCCAAAAAAGTAATGATGAAGAAATGCATGACTTGTCTTAGTCAAATCTAGGCTTTCATTGCTCGAGTGGTATTTTGGTTGTATTTAGTAGGAAATCGCCTAACAACGGAATATTAAAGCCTGACGGTGCCAAACGCCAAGGTAAGGCGTGAGCGTGACCAAGGCAGCCCGCTAGCAAAGCGGTGGCTAAGGCAGCCCGCTAGCAAAGCAGTGGCCAAGGCGGTCGCTAGCAAGCAGTGGCCAAGGCGGCCCGCTAGCAAAGCAGTGGCCAAGGCGTAGCCCAGGCAAGGCCAGAGCAAGGCAGCCCAGCAACGCCAAGGCAAAAGCAAGGCGTGACCCGACGCCAAGGCAGAACCCGATGGCAGCCAAGGCAGAGCAACCCGACAGCGACCCGACGCCTAGGCGAGGCAGGCCCGACAGCAACCCGATGCCTAGGCGAGGCAGGCCCCGACAGCGACCCGATGCCAAGGCAGCCTAGCCAAGCCAAAGCAAGGCAGTCAAGTCAACGGTCAAGGCAAAGACCAAAAATTTTCTACTAACCACTTCGGCATCGATGCATCACTCCAGGTTAGGGAAATGTAACTAAGCCAAACGGTAGTTAGGGTTTGCTAACTAATCGGTTAAAACTAACTATACTTGCCATGTAGGATTTCCAGCCGAGAAATATAATTTAAAGATATTTTTTTTACTTACTAGAAAAAATATACGAGTACGTTTACAAGTATACTAATCATGGGAGAAGGACTAAATTGTCCGGAGTAAAATGATTCAATTTTACAAGTTTCAAATCTAATTATGACGGATTATTAGAATTTAAAAGAAATTTTTTAAAGCAACCCAAGTAATTAAAAGAAAATTCAAATATTTAACGAAATTTTATTTACCAAAAATCAGGGGCGTTACAGGTACGGTACGGTATTCATAACTATGATTTCAAGATATCTATTTAAGGCTTTAACCATGAATGAAAAGGGGAGTTGAGTTGATTATTAAGTATTGTGCAACTGTGTCTTGTTTGGAGTGAATGACTCCTAAAATCAAGCGTGTCGCGTCGAGTGGCATCTACGATTAGTTGCGTTGAGTGGCATCCGCTATCACCGGTCGAGTGGCATCGCAGAACTATCCTAAATTCGTAGGTCTCAGCCTGCATCAAATTGGTATCAAAGTGGTGATCTTGCCTTGTTGAGTTTTCATCCCATAGCAATTGGAGATAAAATGTTGCGCGTGAGTGAAA